GTGAGGCGAGGCGGCGGCGGCGGCGCGACTTCCCCAGGGGCCTTTCCCGCTGCCGCGATGTTCAGCTGGCTGGGTACAGACGACCGCCGGAGGAAGGACCCCGAGGTCTTCCAGACGGTTAGCGAGGGGCTCAAGAAACTCTACAAGACCAAGCTGCTACCCCTGGAAGAGCATTACCGCTTCCACGAGTTCCACTCGCCCGCCCTGGAAGATGCCGATTTCGACAACAAGCCCATGGTCCTGCTGGTGGGCCAGTACTCCACCGGGAAGACCACCTTCATCAGGTGAGCGGGCCGAGCCCGGGCAGCCCACCCTGCCCCTCAGCGATGAGACCATCGGGCGGCTCCTGGGGCTCCACACCCTCCTGGTACGAAGGAGAAATCTTCAGTTTAGGGCTCTGGAGAAATCCTTGTGCGCAGCCTCAAAAGCTGAACCTACAGTTGCCCTGCTAGTCCCCCTCCCTAGCCTGTGCAGTGCCTATTCACTGTACTTAGCCCTCGATAAGGTGGTCAATTTAAAATGTTCAAATTCAGAACCACACCTGTTCTCCCCATTTTTCTGGATGTTGAAACTGAGGCCTGGTGGAGGGACATGGAGGAGGGCTCCTGGTCTTTGGAGGACGTTATGCTGGTGGCGTGCCTTACACACTCACTTTTTAGAGACTTGCCTTTCACAGCCAAGACCACTTCCCTTGCCTCTGGAAAGGCTCAGAGCAAGCACATGGGGGCCTTTGGGTTGCTGCTGAGGAGTCCTGATGGCTGCAGGACTGGAGTGAAGGTGGGCTGCGGACCCTGGGGCCCCCTGCCTGGTGGCGCCACTTGCCCTTTTGTAAAATCATTTTTCTTCTCTCTGTGGCACAGCTCTTAGATGTATCTCTCCAAGACTCAGACAGATGCAGAGTCCCCAAGAAGAATGCTTTTAGTCTGTTTTTCTTTCATCTTAATGGCTCTATAATAACATTAAAGACTTTTAGAGGTGGAAGTTACTGGCGTTGTCTCATGCAGTCCGTTCACTTTGCAGGTGAGGTAATTGAGGCAATATAGAGGTTAAATGAATTGTTCAAAGCCACATAATGGGCCATGGACCCAGGCAGCAAGACCTAGGTGCATATGAGCAGATGGTTGGCTGGGTGACTGTTAAACTTTGAGGGTGAGTCATCCGTTCCCTTGGACGACAGACTCCTAGAATCCTCAAGAAGTCCAGCCTGTTCAGAGAGGTCCATCTGTGTGCACCAGAGTGATGTCGTCCTTCCTGTCTTTCGAGAACAAGGTCCTCTTCGCATACAACCTGGCAGGCCAGGCTGCCTCTTGGGCTCACTTACCGGTCTTGCAAACTGTGGAGGGTGCTTGTGACCCTCCGTTGAGAGTCTTGCTCCTACAGTGTGGAAACGGGGTCCACCCCCAAATCAAAAGAGGATTTGAAAGCATGGGTCCTCTTGTTTCCACTCATTGGCTGTTTGAACATCTGCAGTATTCAAAGCCTGTGCTTTGTTTAGTAAGGAGAGCCGGAAAGTTAACAGTCTGGTTAACTTTCATTTTCTAGGTACTCATTTTCTCTAAGGTTAAGCCTATAGCTCAGGCCTTCCAGGAGGGAGCAGTAATGTGCACCATGCTAACATGTCACATCTGAGCAGAACCCTAAGTCAGGTTTGTCTGTGGAGTACACAGCCTGGGGCACAGCAGCTTTGATAGCGCAGGTGATTGCTGAAGTTATTGACTCGGGTATTTTACACTATTACAACTACCAGGGCCCCTAGATATTAATCTAATCCATTGCTTCTTAACTTCTTAAAAGATCAGCACCTGATTTGAAAATCAAATGAAGCTGTTGGCCTGGCTGTAGAAAAAATGCACACATATCCCAAATTTACATCTGAGTTTGGTGAGCCAAGAGCCATCCTTGAAGAACCCCTGATCCAAGCTCTGTCCCCCTTGTTTGCTTAAACGTCCGTCCATTGCTGCCAGAGATGTTTCAGAGTTTCCTGGGGATGAAGTTTCCTTTGTGATCTTTTCTCCCATTCCACGCGGCCCATTTTCCTGCCTCCCAGGAAGCAAAGGCCATTTGCTGGCTGTTCCACGATACATCCCTGGCTCTCTGGGCAGGCCTTGGCCATCACTCTTAATACATTGTGTTATTTTGAGCTCCTTCTTCCAGCATCTGTGCCTTACCATCTCTAGAGTCTCAGTTATAGGGAATTCCCAATGGATGTTTTGCAGAATGGGAGGGAAGATGAGGAAAGGTGAATATCCCTTAGGGCAGGGCCCCCAAACAACAGATGGGTTTAAGTGCTTTTTGTCCAAGACACTCTCCAGCTCTGCCTGAGTCATTGTTGGCTGTTATTGAGTCTAAAAAAATGGCAAAGTGAGGTGCCCCAGATTATTCCTTATCTGAGGTACACAGAGGGCTGTGAGAGACAGATCCCTCTTCTTTCTTATCCTCCGAGTTCAGGAGTTTCCCCAGCCCATTCATGCCAGTAACTGAATTTAGCTTCTGCATCAAAAGCTGTTTCCTCTCCGGGCAGTCAACAAGCAGAACTGGAGGGGTTGAAGCACAAGGAACCCCCCAAAACCAATTTACATATTTTTTTCCTTCTCATTAAATCCAGTGGTTTCTTTTATAAGTTGGAAAATGCAGAAAATCAATTTGAAGATGAACAAAATCATCCATAATACTATATAGCTCAAGAGAAAATATTTCAAATATATTTACCTTTCCAATATTTTTAGCTATTTATACCATAGTTGATATCATGCCACTTGTGTAATTTTGCATATTGGCTTTTCTTTTTGTTTATAACATGAGCATTTCCCATGTAATCGTATTTTTGACAGCTACCTAATATTTCACTGCATATAGAATGTTTGTTTTTAATTATTGTAAGATCAGCCTGAATGTCTCTGTCCATAAGATTTTTCCCACATACTGAACTGTTCTTTCAGAGATTCCTAGACATGGAATTATTGGGCCAAAAGTTGTGCATTTTGTTTTGTTTTTAGCTTTTTTACTCTTTTGCATTAAGAATTATATTTCATATGTGCCTTCCTTCCAAGAGGGTAAATGGGCCCAACATCTGTTCCCCAAAGTAAATAAATATCCCCCAGGATAAGTGCACACAGGCCTGGCTCTCAGCATGCCTGCCCCCCCCCAGTGTTTTTGCTTGATTCACTCAGGTCCCAGGCCTGAACCTATAAGGGACTTTTTCCTGGGAAACAAAGCCCTGACTCTGTCCCCCGCATTCTTGGCTTTTTGCCTCCTGAGTGACCATCCACTTTCATTTCTATGTGCTTGCCATGGGGTCTATTTCTTGTCTCAGGAAGAATACACAGAAAGGACATTCATCTAATAACTAATTAATGTGCTGTGATCTCTGCCTGAAATAACTTCCCTGGCCTACAGCCCAGCAACCAGAGTAATAAAATAAACAATAAATGGGCCTGGCGGCTGCTCCCCCCAACACAGACTGCTTCTTTGGAGTACAGTAGCTCTGTGTCCCTGGGCCCTGGCAGTCTAACTCCCACCTCTCCTGTTTCTCTCTCTAGCAGGCAGCCTTAAACCCCTCTTTTCTGTGTACCAGTCGGACCCCTGGTCACTCCTTCTCACGTCCCACTTTCTGTGGTTTCACTATGTGTCGGTAGTGGGTATGAACAGACGCTTCTCCTGGGGCTGGGGTCCTGAGTTCTCCTGGGCGCCCCAAGAGAGGCTTCCCTGGACCAAGGCTGGGCTGGTGTAGAGGCTCGGCCTGGGCTACAGAGCTGAGCTGCCTGAGTCCCCACAGGGAGGCCTGCTCTGGTCTCCAGGTGGGCATGGCCTTCTTGTGGGCAACTTGGCCTATGAGGTATGAGCACAGGGCAGGGATGCTGGGGTGAAGAGCACTCAGTGGTGAGGCCTACTCGGCTGACCTCCTCCTCTTTCACTTCTTCAGGGACTCTGTGTTGTCCCCCAAAAGGTGCCTGATTCAGCAGGGCTCTGATCTGCTGGTCTCAAAGTGGAGCTGGGTGAAAATCCACCTGCTTCTTCTAGGGCCTGGTTGTTACTCGGAGCAGAAGGCCCTAGGCCAGAGGACCTGTGTCTGCATCTGCCTTGAAAGCCAGGTGTCTGGAAGACTTCAGGACAAGTGTGTACCAGAGAGAGGCACGTCTCGAAGAAGGTGTTCGTCCTGTTCGTTCCCATTGGCCGCGGGAACCAGGCTGGGTCAGCAGAACTCAGGCTCCACTACTTCCTAGCCAAGAGACCAAGTTAGGAAGGTGGAGGTCAGGCCACCCAACCTTTCTGACCTTCAGTGTCCTTCTCTGTGCAATGTGAGTGACAGTGTACACCTCACAGGCACCAGGAGGGTCAGACCCAGTTTAGCACCCTTATGTTCCGCGCACTGTGCTATCATTCCTCTTTCTAGCTTGGTTCTCTGGCGTGAGACGTAGAGGCTGAGAAGGTCGTGGCAGCCTCTCTCCAGCACTGCCAGTCAGGGTGAGAGGGATCCTGCTTCTCCCTACCTCTGAGAATGAGAGGGAGCAGGACATTGAGCTCTGTGGATGGAGCAACGAGTGCCCAGGGTGGTGCCGGGCAAGAGGAGGCTAGCAGGAGGCTGAGTAGTGTGGCCTCTAAATTCTTCCTGCTGGGATAATGTACTCCCTCCGTAGCTGAGGCTTCTGTGCACCAGGGACAGTGGCAGGGAACATGGACTGTGGAACACATCTCAAGTTGGCCGTGGAGTGTCCCATCTGCTGCCTCACTTTGTGGTGCATTAATGCTGTCCCAAAAACCCTCATGAAGTTGTTGGGCAAGTATTATCCTGACCCTCTTTTACAGCTGAAGTACCACGTCCTAGGCACCTAGAGATATGGATATATAGCACAAACACCTGTTAATACAGGCTAAAAGTGATGGTTGCTTTTATTTTTTTTCCACTAAGTTTATTGGTACAGTTTAGGTGTACAGTACAGTTACATCCATCGTTGAGATCTTGTATCTTGGTTCTTATTTTTCCCCCATTCCTCGCCCTCCCTCCACCCTTCCCTATTTACAAAGACTTTGTTTCCATTTTGTCTCTTTCTGATATTTGCTGTTTGAGTGTACCGAAAAAATATGCAGAGCAAGACCTCTGAGGCTTTTAGAAAAGAGTGAATGGGATACTTAAGGCTTCAGAGAGGAGGCATTTCATGAAAATGTGAAGAAAAGCCCTCTTCATAGGAAAAATCAGAATTGCATTGGACTTCCCCACTTCTATTTTATGGTTCAGTGTTTATTTTGCATTAGGCCGTGAGGGCAGGCACCAAAATTTTTTCAGCTCTTAACACCTCTAAATAGGTGAACTTAGCTCCGAGTGTGGGCACCGTAACCACAATGTATTCTGCTGCAAGAGTGAAATAATGCTGCCATGCCACAGAGCTGGTAGGCCCGATTAAGAGGAATGATACAGGTACAGTTCCGGGAATGATGCCGGCAACACAGTGGAGCCTCAGCCGTCCTGTCCTGTGCCCCCTTATTCCTTATTATTATTGTTGTCTCAGCTGATTCCACCCCGGCTTGAATTAAGTATTTTTATACTGCTGTGGGAATGTTTTCACTCAGCAACACAGGCAATCTGTCTTGCTTCCCATAAATAAGCAGGACAGGAGATTCCTCGGTAGGTTTTTCTTTCTCGCACACAGCAGTAGCTTTGTTAGAAGGGCACCCAGTGCCACAAGCCATACCCAAATGTCCCTGAGAATTTACCCAGCCCCAGGCTCTCGGCCCGGCCTGACGGCACCCCACTGGACTTGCTGGTGACTCTCTGTTTCCCCAGACCTACATGTGGTCAGCAAGTTTCGGGTCATATGAGCCTAGCAGCCCAGTGGGCCCACTCTGAGGTGGTGGCTCTGTGACTTCCCAGGAAGTGGTCCTGACAGGCCGGGCTGGGCTCACCAGCCGAGTACATCGTGTCTCTCCGGGATGCAACGTGAGATGCCTGTGTAAGGAACATGACATGCCTCTGCTGTTGGGCGCTCTTCATTCTGGGCATTTTTGTGGCCTGCCTCAGAATGGGTCTTTCTACCCTTTTCTATTTCAACTGTCCCCGCAGCCTTTGATGACTCCCCCACCCGTCCCTCCCAGTCCATGATCACCACACCCCCTGCACATAGACTTCTCCGCCAAGCACTTACTTTCCCAAATCAGAGCGCTGATTCTCATGGGGAATTGGGCTTTGCTGTTTCTAAGTGTTCCCTTAGAGCTTGCCAGCCTCCTCTGGTCACCTGATAGCTGCAGCTTTTGCCTGCCACATTGCAGTCATTGTGGCTGCTGTGTGCTCTTGGGTACTGTGCTTACGGAGATGCGTGTGTGCCTCCGTTCTTGGACCTCAAATCTTCGTCTGTCCCTGGCCAGCCTCCCGCCAAACCATATTCTTCTGTGGCCTTTCTTCTCCCACTCCAGTTCCACATGGGGTTCAACCCTTTTGGCTTGTTCCCAGGGGTGGCTGCTTCCCTGTCCAAGGAGTGGCTCTGGCAGAGAAAGGGACAGCAGGTGCAGTAGTCAGGAGTGTGAATTCTCAAGTCCAAATGCCAGGTGTAAATCTTCACCCTGCTTTGATGGATGCATAACCTGAGGCATACGGTTTAACTTTTGTTTTTTTTGTTTGTGCCAGGTACTGGTTAACTGAAACTAATTTAATCCTCAGAACACTATGAGATGGGTTTTGTTAGGCCCCTTTGATGAGGATCATGGTGCTTACATTGATGAGCTAATCCACAGAATGTTTGGAACAATGCCCAGCGAGACACAGGTGCACAATAAGGATGAGCAGTTAAGACCCTGTTTCAGAGGGAGGTTGACTGTGGTTAAGTGTTCATGAGGCATCCCCCTCAGAGTTAGAGGACCCAGAGCAGAAGCACCCAAGGAAGCAGGAAGTGCCATCCAAGTGCACAACTGTTGTGCTATGTTCTTAGCTCAGCGCCAGCTCCCAACGTGACCCGCTGGCCAGAGGAAATCCTGCCTTCACACCCTGATTGTTGGGCTGGGATCTTGAAGGCCTGAGGGGCTTCCCAAGGCCACCGGAAGCAGTGCCCAGGGTATAGCCTCCTGGGCAGTGTGCTCCAGGCTCTGCAAGAGCAACAGCTTCCTACCTGGGCTCCCAGGGGAGGAGCACATAGCAACCAGTTTAAACTGCCAAGGAACTAACCTGGGAGTGAGGGCAGCTCCACACCCTCCCTGAAGGCACAAGTAGCACGCCAAGGACCCTGAGGAAACCCAGTGAGCCTCTCTGGCTCCAGCCCACCCGGGGAGGCCTAGGATGGCAGGGAGCTCAGCTTCCCACCCCGGCTTGTCCTCCCCACCTCTGGGACTTGGGCAGCCACAGTCTCTGGGCAGTGATATCCTCAGGAAAGAAAGCAGTTGAAGAGTGAAGGACTTGGGGTACTGATTCATTTTGGTTTCCCGCTGTATGACTGGCTGTTTAACTTTGAGAAAGCCATATAACCCTTGCTAGTTGGTTTCCTCACTCAGTACCCATCTCCAGAGCTTCTGTGAGGATTGAAAGAGACAGTGCCCTCAAAGTGTTCAGAGCTGTTTATCAACCCTGGCTGCAGGTTTGAGTCATCTGGAAAACACCTAAAAAGTAGTGATTGCTAGGGTCTCATCTGTGGATGAACAGGTCAGAACCTGTGACTTGGGGCTCCAGCGCCATCACCTAATGCTCCCTTAAGGTCTCAAATGTGTGGCCAGGGTTGGGGATCAAGGAGCAGAAAACCTCCAAGTTCCCTTTCCAATATAACAGTATCCAACTTTACGTCTCTTCTCCCAGAGTCTCCTGGATTCTCCCTCTGAGCCTGAATGTGGGTCCTCGAGGTTGTGAGGAGGAGGAAGGTGCCCCGGCTCCTGAGGGCTCACCCCACACACGCATCCGTTTTCTTAGGTAGTGTCCCTTAGCACTCCTGGGCAGAGGAGAGAATTCGGGCTCCTTCCTTCAGCCTGGCCTCCGGTGCTGCCTGTGCTCAGAGCTGTCCTGGGATCCCAGAGAGCTGTGTGGTCCTCACACTCTGTTCTCTAGGTCTCCAGGTGCCATTGATCTGGGCCTCTGCGGCTGTGAGGAGGGCAGTTGACCTGAGCCTGTCATTGCCCACGCCAGGAGAAGAGCAGAGAGTCACCCGCCACCTCAGGCCACAGCCAGAGTTGAGGGGCAGTTAGCTCACCACTCCCCTACCCACTCCAGAGTACCCATCACCCAGGGACTAGAATGGTGTGGGCTCAGTGGCTGCAGCGACACTGTCCAGAAGTGCATCCCTGGCACAGTGGCTCAGGGAACAGAAGGAACGTGGTGATTATTGTCCAGTCTCCCCAGGGGATAGATGACAAGGCTGGGCGAGGGAGAAGGCCTGCCTGAGGCCTCGAAGTAACTGAGGGACTAATTCTCCTGGCCCACACCAGAAGGCAGGAAGTGGAAACCTTAGAAACTGTCCCATCAAATAAACTCTTTCTCTTCTTTATCTTTCGGTTGAGATAATATATGAACTCCCCAGCCAGCCATGGTGGCACATGCCTACGATCCAAGCACTGGGGAGGCTGAGGCAAGAGGATTGCCATGAGTTCAAGGCCAGCCCGGGCTATATAGCAAGTTCAAGGGCAGTCTGGGCTACATCATGAGACCCTGGTTCAAAAACAAAAAAAATATATACATTCCCTTACCACCATTTTGGTTCCACCTAGGTATTGAAAATTATCAAAAGTTAGCAGTAAATGTTTTTGTTTTTGTTTTTGTTTTTTTGGCACTGGGGACCGAACTCAGGTCCTTGCGCTTCAGGGCAGGCGGTGGAACCACCGAGCTAAATACATTAAGCCTAAAAAAGAGAGGTGCATTGATATTATCAAAGTAATCCTCACAGATAAATTTCTGTCTGTGCCACACACAGCACCTTGGTGGTTACTGCGTTGCTTAGAGGCAGGGTATGTGTGTGCCAGTAGTGAATACGATAGGAAAAGCATCAGTAGATTAAAAAAATAGAAGCTTCTCTGGGTAAAGCAAATAAAAAACAGCAAAGTTATAATCTTCAGTCCGGAGTCCTACCGTATGCTATAATATTGGTAAGAAAATGGCCTAGAACTCAAGGATAGAAGGGAGACAAGTAACTTATTGAACGCCTGTCTGTGCCTTGCACTGCACAAGACATTTTGATTGCAGACCCATCTTTGAAAGTTTGAATTAAATGGATAATGACAGGAAAGAAAGGGTGAACTTCTTTGCTTAAAAATTCAATCAGTGACGTGTAAATACTGTGTGTGAACATATAACGTGTCATGCATGCGTGTATGGAGCATTTTTAGAAGGATTCGGAATGCAAAATACAGGTGTTAGAAGAACAAAAGGTCTAGAATGAAACATTCATTTTTTTATAGTTTACTCTTCACACTTTTTAATTTTATATCATATACAGTGATTTTTTTTCATTAAATAACCAGACTCAAATAGTGAGCTATGAAAAGCCAGCAGCCTCTGGGGGGTGGTCTGACTAACCACACCCATGCAGGAGTTTCAGCAGGTCACCTCCCTTGTGAGATTCACTGTACTTGAGCCAGGAATAGCTTCAATTTAGGTTTTTGTCCCGAATCCAAACCTGGCTTTCCCTCACCTTTTCTGCTTCGGGGAGGGAAAGGGGTCAAAAAGAACAGCAGAGATTTGAAGTGCGGCTGAAATTCCATGTGGAACTGGAAAGTTCTGAGGATTTATGAAATCTCATTGCCCCGGACCTGTCCCTCTCCCCCAACTCATGTGTGGCCAGCCAAGTAGCGATCTACCACGGTGCTCTACCAGAAGAATCCCCACATTACGACTGTGCTCCTTTCTGCCAGGTACCTGCTGGAGCAGGATTTTCCGGGCATGAGGATTGGTCCTGAGCCAACAACCGACTCCTTCATAGCAGTAATGCAGGGGGACGTGGAGGGGATCATCCCCGGGAATGCCCTGGTTGTGGATCCTAAGAAACCCTTCAGGAAACTCAATGCCTTTGGAAACGCCTTCTTGAACAGGTGAGTGTGGGGCAGAAGACGTGCGTAGAGTCTTCCTGCTGCTCTGGAGGATGGGAGGTGAAAGGACAGGGCGTAGTGTCCCTTGCTGGCTGGGAATGTTGCCTAGGCGGCTGCCAGAGATGAATGTGAGCAGCAAAGGCTGCGCTGATTCCTCCTGATCAAGGAGCAGGAAGGGTACAACAATAACTATTTCTTAATCCGCTCCCACGCTAATAAAAGCGGAGAAGGGAGACATCTGTACATTTCCCATCCTTTGCCTATGCCATGGCTGGGATTTTCATCTAACCGGCAGGGAGCAGAAAAGGGTCCTTTTCTGTCCCTGGAGACTTTTTACCTGGTGGAAAGAATCCTGGACTTGAGAGGGAAGACTTGGCTTTGAGGGCTGACTCTCCTACTGCACTCCCTGGGTGACCTTGGGCAGGTCACCTCCTCTCCTCTGGGGCACACTCAGGCAGACACCAAGGTTATCGTGAGGACTGGAATGGAAAAGTCTCTAGAGAGTACTTGGCAAGCTAATCTGGACCTTCACGTTGGCGCTCTCTCAACTAGAATGCAGGCTGGTCCCTTAATCACACCTGTTATATTTATAAATCCAGTTTGATGTTTCTGTTACACTTAGTAACTTCAAAGCTACTTTTTTCTAATTGGAGATATTTAGAGTAAAGGTAAAGAATACGGGCTTTGGGTTCAGGGAGACCTGGCTTCAAACCCTGATTTTGACTGCATCTTGAACAAATTACTAAACTTCTTTGTATCTGTCTTCTTCAATATGTGAAGTAGGGTGGCAGTGATATCTTCTTTCAGGGAGCTAATGGAGAGGTAAATGAGTTAATGAATAGACAACACTTAGTGGCTGCCACATAGTAACCAACAGAAAGGGTTAGGTTGTGGCAGCAATGTTAGGTATTTTTTATTTGACTCCCACATTATGCAGTGAGGGAAATGGGCATTGCGATTGCTGTGTTTGCAGTTGTAGAAGCTGATACTCATTCCCCAAACGGTTTTCAACACCTCTTATGCTGAGCAATAGTTCTTCAAAAGCATGAATATGTCTCACCTGTCTCGTACATAGTGACGCAGGGTGACAGGGATGAGCAGGAGCCAGGTGAATAGCATGGAACTATGGGCTGGCAGGTCCAGAGCAGAGGTGAGAAGTCATACTGAGGAATCATGGGGAGTTGGCCTGGCAGGAAGGAGCTCGTGAGGTTCCCTTGTGTTACATAGGGAAGGAAGTCCGAGGCAGTATAAGAAGTCTGAGGGTGCTAGTGCTGGTGCGGTGGGACAGGTGTCCTGGAGCCCAGGAGTGTCCCTGATGCCTGCAGCTGCAATGCCAAGGAGGCTTCAGCCCAGTGTGAAGGGAACGCCTGTGCTAAGACGTCGAGATCTAGACACGTTTGGGCTAGGGTGAGCCTGATGGAGAGAATAAGTCAGCAGAGGCGGGAGCATCTGGGAAGGGTGGCAGAATGGATTTGGGGCATGTTGAGTTTGCAGTAGAAGAGTGGACAGCTGAGGCGCATCATCCATCCCGGGGCAGAGGTGAAGAGCTGGACTGTAGGGGAGAGGACAGAAAACCCGGGTCACGCAAGAGGAGATTGGGATCATCGGAGGGGACCAGCACAGAGGTAGTGGTTGACCCCATTCGGGCGTAATAGTATAGAATGGTGATAGCATGTTGCGTTTTATGCAACAGCACGTAGTCTACCACGGGAACGAGAATGTATGTCATTGTCGTCATACCAGGTGCATTCCTGGGATTTGAGAGCTTTTATGTCATGGACCAAACCCCGCAGGTCTCCCTGGCTACACACATGAAAACCTGGAAGTGGGCACGAGGTGGAGTAGAGCTAAGGACTCTTGACTTGTTCCACTGTTATTGTCTTCCTCTATAAGTATGATAAAATGCAAGATATAAATTATTTGTGCCCCACCCAGTCTCTTCCTGCAAATGTGCATAAAGAAAATCTGGGAGAAAAACAGAAAAAAAACAAAACAAAACAGAAGAGTGGTTATGTTTCTGGTAACCTGGAGAAAATGGAATTGAGAAGAAGGCTGGAGAGGAAGGAGACCTTCATATCTCATTATATGTATTGCTCAACGGTTCTTTTTTTTTAACCCTAAACATATAACTTGAATATTATGAAAGTGCTTTGAAGACATTATATACGAAGGCATTGTGTGGAGAGTAACACGTGGGTACAAGAAAGCACTGTTGAGGGGGTCTAGACTCTTCACGTCTGTGGCTTCAGTGATTAAGGTGTAGAGCTGAGGAAGTGGACATATGCCAGGCCCTGCAGTGCCAAGGGGACCCCTGAGATGCTGGCCTGGAGAGGAGGCCACCTGCCCGAATACAAGGTGGCCGTGTGGAGGGTGGTCCTGTCCCCGCCCAGGGCTTGGCTAAGGCATGGAGTTTGGGTGGACTCCTGCCCAGTGGACAGAGATATGAAAGGGGTCAGCAGTGACGTGGGTCGGGGCCGAAAGTTGGCATCTGACGTGGACAGCGAATGATGGCTTATGTGCCACTGAAAGGGTGAGAAAAGGACATTCTAGGCAGAAAACACTGGAGAGAGAGGGAAAAGTACAAGCAGGGAGGAATGAAAACTCTGCGCCCGTGCAGGGCTGTGACTAGGAGATCGATGACATCATGGGTCTATGACCTGCAGTGCCCCACTGGTGAGAGATGGGCCTGATGGGGGTTTTCCAGGCACAGCCACATGCAGACATCAGGAAACAGGGACCCTACTGCCTGCCACCAGCTCTGCTGCAGCCCGCACCAGGTGCCATGGTGGGGATCCCTGGTGCAGTATGAGCTGTCCTTGAAAACCAGCCCCACTGCCTGGAAGCCCCCCTGTCTGCTTCGGGACGGCCTGGATAAGGCTTCTCTCCTTCACAAGTCCGGCCCAAGGATGAAAGTCTGGACATCCTGGGGTTCTCAACAGCTCAGGTTCACAAGCATGAGCTGTAGCTGCCTCAGGGTCACCCAGGGATGTCCTCAAAGTGCAGATCCCCAGGGCCATTGTGTGCTTGTGATCCTGGGATTCCAAGTCAGCACCCAGAGGGAGAGCACTGTGCCTGCCACTGAGGGTCGAATCAGAAGGACCCCACACCCTGACTCTGTATGCAGACCTTGAGGACGCTCGTGCCTCTGTCCCCAGGGCCCCATTGTGAAGAAAGTGGGGTCTTCTCACTGACCCTCTAGAGAAGCTGAAGGTGCAGAATGAGCCAAGCTAAGGGAAGCCACTCAGGCAGGATGTGGCCGACCAAAGACCCACTGAGACTTGGGGCTGCAAGAGTCAGGCCCAGGCTTTGGTCACACAGGCGAGTGGGCCGTCACCGGGGAGCAGCCCTGTTCCCTGAGATGGGACGTGGTGAGAGATGAGAGCGCAGTGCTCGGCCTGCTGTCCCTGGTACCCAGTCCTGAGCAGGCCCGCTCTGGGTGAATTGGAGCCTTTGGGCACACAGCTGTGGCTCACATGGGTCAGACGGGACCAGACTTGTGCAGCTGCGTCGGGGAAGGCGCCTGCCTCGTTGCTTACCGGGGCCCTCCTCTTGCCTGCATAGGTTCGTGTGCGCCCAGCTGCCCAACGCTGTGCTGGAGAGCATCAGCGTCATCGACACTCCAGGGATCCTGTCTGGGGAGAAGCAGAGGATCAGCCGAGGTAGGCCAGACCCTGTTCCCATGTTGTCGCTCTTCCATATTAGAAGAGAAGCATCCACAGCCTTCTCTTCCTTCATGGGTGGGCACGCGTGTGCTCTCTGGGTCAATTTTATGTGAGACAGACCTAGTCAGGCCAGCAGCTGAGCTCAGTGCTCTCATCTGTGAAATGGGAGATCAGTGTGTGCCTTACTGTAAGTTACTCACTGTCTCAGAAGCAACTGGCCTGGCTCCTTTGCAAGGAAATCAGATGTGCTGCATCTACCCCAGTGCTGTAAATGGAAGCTGGGCCTCGAGCCAGCTCAGCACTCGGAAGTCAGCCTCCCTCCAGGAACGGACAGCTGTGGACTGGCAACTTTCCCCGGGAAGCCGCTGAGGGACTCTCCCAAATCGACCTCAGGTGACGTCTGCCTCTGCGGCCTGTGCCTCAGCCCTCTGTGCTGTGGGGCTTCAGAGCTCTGCCCTGCCCCCAAATGCCACTGCGATGGTGCCAAAAATCCTTCCCTTCGAGGGCACAGCCTGTCCCAGCCATCACTGCTGACCCTCAGGACCCTGAGTGCAAAGTCACAGTGAGTGCAACCAGAGAGTGCTCCTAGGCTGTGTGTCATGAGCCCCGGTGGTCTAGACCTCTGGTGCCAGAACTAGCTTCTGTCCAGCGCCCTGAGAGCAGCCCTCACTTCCTTGCTGGAGAAAGTCTCTTCCGGTCAGGGCAAGTGTGGGGCCACAGGCCTGGCTATCGGCTCTTGGGGGTGCACCATGGCCAGTGGTGTGCTGAATAGAGAGGGAAGGTAGCAGGAGAGGCCTGCCTGGCAGCAACCTGCACAAGGGCCAGATTAACCTTGGGCTGTGCTTCAGGGAATGTTTGTCCCAGAGTTCTCACAGGGGTGGGCCTTGAGTGGAAAGTTCCCCTGTACCCAACACCCACAGTTAGGAGGCAGAGGGGAAGGAAGCTGCTGAGTCAGGAGGGGCCTTGGGACACAGTGTTAACCCCTGCAGTTGGTGGCCTGTGAGCCCTGGGGTATCATAGTGTAGCCTCCACAGGACCCTGGGAGCCTGGTCCCCCGTCCTGCTAAGTGTGTGCCGTGTGATGGAGGTGAGGTGGCTGGGATGAAGTTGTAGACCCTGGCCCTGAAGATAGAGGTTTCTCACCCTCACCTCCCCACCTGTGGTCTTCTCTGAGCATATGGCTCCTGGCTCTTAAGGCCACCGAGGGGCAACCTGGGTGGTCCTCAGTCCTTCCTCCTAAATGGTCCCACCCCACCCCAAGTGGCTCATGGGGCTCACCCTGAGTTCAGGCCCAGAGAGGCTTTCCCTGTCTCCTCAGGGAAGCTGGGAGGACCAGTCTCTCTTGAGCCAGGGTGGAGCTGAGCCACAGGTGCCTGCAAGACCAGTGCAGCCCCAAAGGAAGCCTCAGGGGTTTCCAAGCATACTAGGGGGTCCCAAATTCTGGGCAGTAGGACTCTGTGGATCTCAACAAGATCACATTTTTCTCTGAACCTCAGTGTGCCCATGTAGAACAGAAGGTGAGATCTGCAGACCGTAATGGAAACATGGGCCTCAGCGCCAGTTCTGGATCATGGTGAGCTCCTGTCTTCCCTCCTTGATTGCTTTCCAGGACTCCCCATTATTTAACCCCAAGGTAACCTATGTGAGCAGTGTTCCTTGTGATGTGGAGTGTAGAGCCTGTGTTGCTGGATGGGCAGCCCTGTTCCCAGGGATTCCTGCCTTCCTCAGGTCCTATTCCATTCCATTGTTTTCTTTGTCCTCTGTCTTCGGAGCTCAGTGACTTTTATAAAGACAAAGATGTCAGTGAAGTCTACATAGCTGAGGCCAGGTGGGTACTTTTTGTCCTGTAGAGACAAAAAGCTTGGCTAAAAGCTTGGCTTGCATCCTCAGCGTCTGTCTTTCTTTCTTTCTTTTATTCATTCTTTCTTTTTGAGACAGTGTCTCATTATGTAGTTGAGACTGACCTGGAACTCACTATGTAGCCCAGGCTGGTCTTGAACTCACAGCAATCCTCCTGCCTCAGCCTCCTGAGTGCTGGGATTACAGGCATGCACCACCACACCTGGCAATATTAGTATTCTTGACCTGCATATCCTCTCCTCTTATGCCACCCCATGCTAAGTATCAGGCAGGCTCCTCTGGGAGAAGTGATGGCTCTGTGAGTGGCTGTGCAGGACAGTGTGCTCCTGCCCTCCTGAATCCAGATTGCAGATGCATCTGCTGGCAAAAGCAGCCTATGAGAAAAGCCAGAGCTGGAGGCTGTCCTGCCAGCATCAGGTTGCCAGCCTGGGCCGGTGCTGACCTCAGCACCCTGAGGAGGAGAGGGGAGGGTGTCAGAAACCCTTTGTTATCAAGGACACCCTGAACGAGGAACATGTCCAGGGTGCAAAGCCCCTCCCAGCCTTCCTCACAATCACCCACAGAGCCCAAGGTCTTTGGCTGCACATATGGACACTCCCCACACAAACACTGTGCACACAGGCGTGTATGCAAAATGGAACTAGCATTATTGCAGCTTCTTGCTTGAGCCTCCCAGTAGGCTGAAGAAGACTACAGAGCAATGTTGGCACTTTTCCCCCTCCTCTGACTAGCCCAGGACAGGCATGGTCCCCGGGGACAGTCCTGCAGACCTGCCCTGCACAGCAGGGGACCTGGTCGAGGGGAACGTGGGGCCTGAAATCCAGCCCACATCCTGCTCAGAGCTGTGTCTCACTGTGAAGGGAGCATCGGTCTCAGGTCATCTCAGAGGCACCGAGGAGCCACACTAGACCGGCCATTCTAGAAAAGGAGCCATTCCCAAGGACCTCCTGGCTTCAGGCTCCATGGGGAGGAACCCTTGGGCTTCAAACTACAGCCCAGCAAATGTGGCCCCTGCTCAGGCTGTGTCCCTGTGCTAGGCTTGAAGGAGTATGTGTCTTGGAGAAGCCAGATTGAGAAGGTCCCAGGCCTGGTCTCTGGATGGAGACACTTTAGGTAGGCAGGAGAGGCAGTCAGTGGGGCAGTTCCTGGAAGTGGCAGGATGTGCCTGGCCGGGCTCATTACTGGGAAGACTCCGGAAGGCCACATGTCCTCACGTTTCCAGACTGCTTCCCAGCTAGCAGTCCCCACTGCCCCACTCGGTAAGAGCCACCCCTGTGCTTCATGCACAGCTGCATGCTCCTTCCAGTGGGAGCTTTTCTGCAGGCCCACGTCACACATCTGGAGTGGAATCCCTAACCTCCCAATTCCTACTCCAGTGGTTTTTCAGCACTTTAGGACTGAACAGCTTGCCTGGGAACAGCAAGTGGATAGGATGAGGGCAAATTTCTCATCTACAGGTTTCCTCTGGGGCCTTTGGAGCTCAGACTGGGGAGTCTGTGTGTATCTCACAGCCTCATACCCCTGGCCCATCCCTGGCACCCTCCCTGGAGCTGGGTCAGCACTTAGGCATGTGTTTGCCAGCACGCTATGTGGGCAGTTACAGGCCTGGGCAGAGCAGCTGAGCCCCAGTGCCTGCAGGAGGCTTCACCCGCAGCTTTGTGGTTGTCTGGAGCCCTGTGACGAGGCTGCTCTGGCCCCTCTTGGAGGCCACTTCCGAGAGATGACCAGAGCAACCTTTGCTCCCCATTGTCATCCAAGTCTATCCCACTTTTTGGAGATGGACGCCTTTTTATTTCTCTTTTGCTAAAATGCCTTTCAATCTTGTTGGTGATTTTAGGGGAGAGGTGGGACTTGTTATCTGCTCACTGCACATAAACGCCTGATGGGAAGGCTTCGTTCTGTGCTCTAGGCTCACACAGGGCTACAGGCTAAGAGAATGGCAAGTGCCCACCCTCTCTCTGTGTCTCTGGTTCCTCTCCTAGAGATGCATATGCTCTGTCCACCTCCTGGCCTGAGGAGCACTAGGAGGTTGATTGTGCAGCTGAAAACACCAGGAACAGCGCTGCCCTGCTCTGTAGTTTAGCACTCAGGGAAGCCATTGGGTGGCTAAGGAGTGGCCTCGCTTATTGAGTTTGGCTCATTGATTTCCTCCTGCCTGGCACCCCTTGGAAATGGTTTCTTCCCGGATCCCTGGAGCATGGGTGGAGAGTCACAGATTGGCAGCTGGCTCAGCTTGGAGCCTGCCCACCAGATCCCCTAGAGCCTGCAGAGTTGGAAGGGAGATTTCGGGGATAGAGGAAGGCTTCTACTCTCTATAGCCTTGTTTCACAGACCTTTGGAGCCATTCCTGGCACCAAGGAGGGGAAGGGGGCCTGTCACCGGGCATGCCATTCACCCTGGACGTTGGTGCAGTCTCCAGACTGAAGCCACACCCGCTTCCACATGGCTTATTCACGTGCATCCTGTTTCCATGGCTCTACCACGTACCCCTCATGCGAGCAGTCATCATTATTCCCATTTTACAGCTGAGAAAACTAAGGTTCAGACTTCCCAGGTCACTCTGAAAATAAATAGATAACCGTTTTTCCTCATGGGGTCCAGCCTGTGCCTTTCAGATGCCTCCATTCCTGGACATGCACATAAGTCCAGGCCATGGAAGCAATTAAATGTCTATCCTAGAGGTTCCATGGGCTCATTGCAGGTTAGGCAGGAGCAGGGAGGGTGAACTACTGAGGAGCTTGCGGAGCCATTGCTTTGTTTTCCTGGTCGTCTTAGCCACACCGGCAGAAAGCTCCGGGCATTACCATTTGTCACCCATTAGCAGCTTGCCAGGGCTTGCAACACTTGAAAAGTCGGAGGATGAATAGGAGGCTTCTGTGGGTCTAAAATCCGAAGAAGGGTTCTAGAAGCTGCCTGCCTGTCTCAGACAGGAGCAGAGGTCACACAAGCCCGCCCGAGTTACCTAAGACAGCAGGCTCCAGGTTCTTTTCTCACCCACGGTGCCTGCAAAGGCATCCTTGTGTCTAATCTCCGTGCATCGCACTGTGCTCCCATCCTCACACCTGCAGAGAGTTGTGAACCGAGAGAGGAAGCCCAGAATCATCCATCCAAATTTAACAGGTGAAGAGATTAAGGGTCAGAGAGAGGATGCTGCTTGCTCAGGGACACACAGCAAGTTAGTAGATGAGCAGAAGCTAAGAGCAGGCCAGGTTGGTGCTTCTGTGGGGCCCCCGGTGGAATACATCCCATCTTACAGAGGCCGGTGCATAGCAGGAGCTCTTCATGAAGGAGGTAGGGGAGAAAGGGTGGCCAAGGTCACACCTGCTCAGTTTTACCTGCATCCTCTGATTGAATCCTCAGAACAGTATGACTGGGGCACCTGTGGCTTCTAAATTAGAGACCAGCAAACCACAACCCAGAGACGACTGTTCACCGTCTCCTGGGCCTGTACTGCAGAGCAAGGCTCCTGCTTCTGTTCTGTTCAGCAAACACTACTGGAGCAACAGCCATATGCCAGGCCCCCGCTGGGCACAGGGGAAGCACAGAAGGCTGGAGCTGCTCCGCCCCGCCCTGCCCAGCTCCCAGGCAGCGTGGAGGATCCCTGTGGCGAGCAGAGCACTGGCACATGCGTGTGTGCCCAGGAACCTCCGAGGAGACTGATCCTGCCCATGGGGCCAGGCACATGCTGGGGCTGCCCACTCTGGCAGGGACAAGCTGCTGCTCTCCCCCTTGCTTCCCAGAGCAGGGCTGGGCAGGTTGAGGGGTCCTCCTCCCCCTGCAGACACAGCCTCCATTCCTCTTAATGTGCCCTCAGGGACGGGAGCCAGGAGAGAAGGCAGTGCCTCTTCTCTCTGCAGCTTCTCTGGTGCCTTTGTTGTCCCAGACCAGGGGAGGGGCAGCTAAAGTGCTGAGCTTGGGCTCCGACCCTGGGTCTGGCTCCGATCCTTGATGCTGTTTTCTTGTCAGGAGGCCCAGCCTACTGTCTTAGCCCCTATGCGCAGCTGAGCCAGTGTACACACCAGCGCTGAGGGCTGAAGTTGCTGGATGGACCAGGGGGATCATAGAGTGCTGTGCCCATTGCTGCCTCCCTGTGGCCTGCACAGCCACCATTAGGACCCATGCCAGGCTGGATAGCAGAGCAGAGAGGCCTCTGAGCCCGCTGCCTCTCTGATGCTGTTCCAGGCATCAGAACAGGGACAGACCCATTTTCAGGTGTGGGGATTGGGGTGGGAGGATCAGGTCGCCTTGCTTTCCAGAGCCCTCTGACCTCCCACAGCCAGGGCTCTAAGGGACTGCCTTTGGGAGGAGGTTGGCCCTGCCAGCTGGTGGCTGAAGGGAAGATAAAAATAGGTCGAGCTGCGGACTGGAGAGGGGAGGGAAGCTGGCAGGGAGTGCACAGCCTCCCCGGCTCTGGAGAGGCCCAGGTGGGTTGTTGCGGGTGGTGGGTGTGGGCAGACTGTCTCACAGGGCTGCTCGTGGTGGGGCCACTCCTGGCCACCTCTGTGAGCCCCAGCTCTCTTCCCTGGAAGCAAGAGTGCCGCTCTTCACACCACCTACCTCAGAGGGGGTGGTGAGGGCGAGATGAGGTCACGGCGGAACTTTCCAGCCGGAGCTGGCATTGTGCTTGGAGTCAGAGCACAAGGGCGGCTTCCCGCAGAAAGGGTGGTCCTGGCTGAGTCATGACCCTGCAGAGCTCGTGTGACCATCTCTGAGGTGGGGCTGGTAACCCTCTGCCTTGTGATGGGGTAGAGGGAGCCTCTGCAGTACTTTGTCGGGGTGTGGTCACACCTGCCTCACAGGAGCCTTCCCGAGGACATGGAGGATACCAGTCTGCCTGTCTCTGAGCCCCAGTTCTCCTTTACTTAAGTCAGAGAGTTGGGCCGATGCCCTCTTAGGGCCCCCTAGCCCGTGGGTCTGCCCTTCAGCTGTGTTAACAGGCAGCTGACAGAAAGGCGCCAGGAGATGATAATCCCTGGAGGTGTGTCACCCACAGCGGCCCGAGTCTGGACAGTGGGTGTCAGGGGTCTTGTCTCCTTCCTGGTTGGGGTCTCTCAGAGGCCTGGAAAGCCCAAAAGGGCTCCTCCAAGCAGCTGCAGACAACAGGTCACTCTGCCCATGGTAAAGTCACCCCTAAGCAGGAGATAAAGCTTTAATACACCCTAAATATGTGCCTGGGTGTCCAGAAGATGCCGAGGAGAGGGAGCCCCAGAAATCCAGGCTCCCTGGCTTGCCCCATCTGTCCTCATCCCCTGCCCCCTCTAAGCCTACCTCCTTTGAAACCAGGTCAGGGTGGAGGCTGGTGCACTGATTCTGGAGCTGCCTCCCTGGGTTTGAATCCCAGCCCTACCACTTAGCAGCTGGTTACCTCCAACAGCTTCCTGTACCTCTCCTGGATGTGACAGCTGGGGCTCATATTAGTTTCTCCCTCCTCTCATTCAAAGTACTTAGAATGGTGCTGGGCACGCAGTGGATGAACCTGTGTGGGAGTTAATTTATTACTACCGTGGACCAGTGGTTCTCAGTGTGGTCTTTGGATCGGCAGCAGCAGTAGCCTCTCCTAGGGCTTGTTAGAACTGCCTGGCCCAGACCTACTGGGTCAGAGACTTGCAGGTGGCCTCTTGTAGTTCCGGTGCTGGTGTATGTACAGATTACTGGGACAGCCTCCCCTCCGGCCTCTCCTGGATGTGCAGCAGCCTGGGGTTGAACACAGCTATGCTCTGGGGCTCCTGTACTTGATGGATCAGCAGTGGATGACCAAGGCGTGGCCACCAGTGGTCCTGTGACATCCTAGGGAAGAAACCCCATGTGGATTTAAGAGCCAGGAGTTCTGGGCTACAACAGAGAGTGATGAAAGAGATGAGATCAAGTCAGTGTGTTCCTAACGAGAGCTGAGATTTCTGCCAGACCAGTGATGGGCATCATCAGAACCATCATCTGTAACTGGCATTTTTCTGTTTTGTTGTTTTGGGAACTTATAAAACAATTTCTAGGTCTTTATTCAAATTAAGTTTCCGGAATATCGTTTCCAGCAGGGCTCCTGGCTGCTAAATTAAATAAGCAAGAATAGGAAAGCTCGATGGTGGCTGTGCTTTAGAGGAGCAGAGATGTTTATAACAACATCTATTGTTACTGAGCATCTGCTAAATGCTAGGCTCTGAATGCATGTAATGCTCATCATTATGGTAGGAATGATAGCATGCCCATGTTTTAGATTTTAAAAACACTAGGGGACATTGAGTAATGTACTCAAGGCCCATCAGGATGTGGACGAGCCAGGATCTGAATTCAGATCTGACAGTTATTTCTCCTGTACCACCCCGCACACTTATGCCCCAAAGGTCACTCCGCTGACTGTCCCTCTGCCGGCAGGGTACGACTTTGCAGCCGTCCTAGAGTGGTTTGCGGAGCGGGTGGACCGCATCATCCTGCTGTTCGATGCCCACAAGCTGGACATCTCTGATGAGTTCTCAGAAGTCATCAAGGCCCTCAAGAACCACGAGGACAAGATGCGGGTGGTGCTGAACAAGGCTGACCAGATCGAGACGCAACAGCTGATGCGGGTGTACGGGGCCCTCATGTGGTCCCTGGGCAAGATTGTGAACACCCCAGAGGTGATTCGGGTCTACATCGGCTCCTTCTGGTCCCACCCCCTCCTCATCCCCGACAACCGGAAGCTCTTCGAAGCTGAGGAGCAGGACCTGTTCAGGGACATCCAGAGCTTACCCAGAAACGCCGCTCTCCGCAAACTCAACGACCTCATCAAGAGAGCCAGGCTGGCCAAGGTGAGGCTGCCTCAAGAGACAGCAGCAGGGTCAGGGTGACAAACCTGGGGTTTAGCTGTAAAAGTGAAAACGCCCTCCGACAGTGGACTGCCCCTTCCAAGAGGGAGTGTCTTGTGACCGTGGTGTCGTGAGCATCCACCATGCTAGCTCAGCCCTCTGGTCACAGGCCTGGATCAGCGGGCCACTGCTTACACCCGAGACATCTCCAGCCCAGCAGGCTGTTAGCCTCTTTGTGCCTCTTTTCACAGCTGTAAACTGGAAGGGTTCTTGGGAGTTACGTGGACTCGGCAGCCGTCTTCCCACCCCCACTGCTGCCCTGACCATGTCCTGCATATCCTCCCCTTGGCTGGCCGGCCCTGCCTGAGGGTGGAAAGATGGTTGCAGGATCAGGAGTGGGAAAGCGGGGAGGGGGGTTTGAAGGAAAAGGCGAACTGAGCAAGCCTAAAAAAGGTCTAGTCCAGGGTCCGGGTGTGAAGGTTGCCACTGTCCCTGTCTGTCAGGTCCACGCCTACATCATCAGCTCTCTGAAGAAGGAGATGCCCTCAGTGTTCGGGAAGGACAATAAGAAGAAGGAGCTGGTGAACAACCTGGCCGAGATTTATGGCCGGATCGAGCGGGAGCACCAGATCTCACCTGGAGACTTTCCCAACCTGAAGAGGATGCAGGTAAGCAGAGCAAGGACCTGTAGGACAAGGGACAGCATTGCTCCATCTGGCAGCCAGAGAATGGAGGAGGGGACTGTCAGAGGTCTCAGAGCAAGCTGAGCCCAGAATCAGAAGGCAGGGCGTTACCCTAGTCCTGTTCTTCGTATCCCCAACAGGTGCCACTTCTGAGCCTGGGGAAAATATGGGCCTCAGTGTCCTCAGGGTGGCTGGTGTATCAGATCAGGTTTAAGACCTCGCGTTTAGGACCACCTCCAGTTACAGCCACCACAGGATTGACATCTCTACCGTCTTCTCCACCAAAGGCCCCAAGAACCTTGCCCTGTCCTAACTTTACCTCTGTGCTCCCCTGACAAGGTCATGTGATGCTAGAGTTGCTTCAGAATTAATTTTCCTAAACTAGGGAATTCGAAAACCAAAACCAGCAACCACATAAGTATCAGTAATAAGTGGTGGTCTTGTTTTGATCTTCAGGGCAGGAACAAGTTTCTCAGTTTAAAATGAGGGTTTTCAGGGCATCCCTAGTCCCAACTATGCATTTTAGCTTCCTTCCTAATAAAGTAAAAAGAAAAGCAACTAATCATTCCATTTGTCTGTGGATCTGTCCATTCATACAACTCCTTAGCGTGAGTTCAGAACCAATTTCAGGGTGGTACGAAGCTAACCTGGGTTAGCTCATCTCTGTCATTTGTGGCTTAGACCCCTTCTGCTCTTTGCTTTTCCTTCTGTTAAGAACTTGATGATCTATAAGCAAACACCTGGGGAGATGACATTTTAATGAGATTACGTGACCCCTTTTTAAATGTGAGGACCCTTTGGTAATGTGACTTTCACCTTTTCACTTGTTTGCCTGTCCAGTAGTGGATCCTATAGTTAGTTACATATGCTGATGCCGTCCCCCTAGGAGACACTGGAAGAGGCTTCAGGAATTAGTGAGGGTGAGGACCTGGCAAGCGAAGGGCCATGGTGCACTGGCCCAGCCCTAGAAGGAAGGTGAGAAGTATCCAGCTAACGCTTGCTCTCAAAGTGGGTGTTTCCTGAATTTTTCTATGGTGAACTCGATGTGCTTGTCTCTGCACTGGCCTCTTCCCAGGTTGCTGAAATTGCTGGGGCCAGGCCAGGGAGAAGCTGGGTGTTCTAGACTGGGAAGCTTTCCAAATCTCAGAAATGTACGAAATAGAGCAACTTTATTTTATAGTGCACATGGGTAGCCGTGCAAAAGTGGGTCAGGGGTTGTTGCAAAAGCTGCCTCCCTGCCTGTACCTACTATGTCAGATCCATGGGTAGGGAAAAATCTTTTGAAGATTCTCTCTAGGCAGTTCCAGTAAACATCCTGATTAAGAACCATAGGTTTGGGATTGACTTTTGGCTTTTATTATGATTTGTTTCTAGTTGTCTTCATTTTCCTTCGCTAAATGTGAGTAGAATAGGATTTCCCTACCTACAGAACACTGTGGGTGGAGAACCAGTGACCCAGGCAGTGAATGCACTTTCTGTGATTTTCAAGAATAACCCTAATCAGAGACCCACATGACTCAGCATCAGAGGGACACGGCATTCGAGGATTGCCTTTCAACACTCAAAACTAATTTAAAGAGAATTGTAACGATTTACTCTCTGGATGACATCAAAAGGGAAGGGATTCTAAACAGATCAAACCATATTTGTTTAAATTCCCTTTCTTCCCCAGCCCCTGCTCCTGTTCTGCTTCTGCCTGAGAGCTTCTGTCCTCCGTCGTCAGCCCAGTGGGTCCCTTTTTGTCCTCCTCCTATTTATGATGACTTTGTAATGTCGATTTGCGCAGTTTCTGAATCAGAGGCTGTGAATACCCGCCACTCCCAGTGGAAGATCTTCCATTACAGTCCATCTCCATCTTTCTCTCTCTTCCCAGGACCAGCTGCAGGCCCAGGACTTTAGCAAATTCCAGCCGCTGAAGAGCAAGCTGCTGGAGGTGGTGGATGACATGCTGGCACATGACATCGCCCAGCTCATGGTGCTGGTGCGCCAGGAGGAGATCCAGCGGCCTGTGCAGATGGTGAAGGGTGGAGCTTTTGAGGGCACCCTGCACGGCCCCTTCGGTCACGGCTATGGAGAGGGGGCTGGGGAGGGCATCGATGATGCTGAGTGGGTGGTGGCCCGGGACAAGCCCATGTACGACGAGATCTTCTACACCCTGTCCCCCGTGGATGGCAAGATCACAGGGGCTAATGCCAAGAAGGAGATGGTGCGCTCCAAGCTGCCCAACAGCGTGCTGGGTAAGATCTGGAAGCTGGCGGACATCGACAAGGATGGCATGCTGGATGATGAGGAGTTTGCGCTGGCCAACCACCTCATCAAGGTCAAGCTGGAGGGACACGAGCTACCCAGTGAGCTGCCTGCCCACCTCCTGCCCCCATCCAAGAGGAAAGTCACAGAGTAACAGAGGCAGGGCCAGCTCTAGAAAGGCAGTATTAGAGGAGGGTACATACACATGCACGCATGCACACACATCTCGACAGTTGCACTGTAGATGAGAAGGCATAGCTGTTCTGACCACTCCGGGCTGATCCTTATTTGGACACCTCGCCAAGTTCCTAGCATTGGTAGAGGACAGCCCCACCCCGGGTCATAGTGTACACGCCTGTGTCTCCACATCTCTGACCCTCCCATCCCCAGCTTTCCAGAGACCAGGACAAATCACTGGCCCACATGTGGCCCACCTACCCCTATTCCCCAGCACCTCCACACTCTGGCTCCAAGCAGATGGGAAAGGCTTTTCATTTAATAGGTAATTCACTTTATTTCCAATCCACTCTATTTTCCTGTGCTTTTCTTTCTCCCTCTTTGCCTTCCTAGTAAGAATCTACTCAGGGTTTAGAGATGTGAGCAATGAAGGGCAGTGAGGCAGGAGAGCCGAGTTGGAAAGCATCCTCTGAGCACTGTGTCCCAGACTTGAAGAGATGTTGGCTCGTGCCATGCGCCCTGTTCTGTCCCGTCCTAAGGCTCTGTCTTCCCAGCTTTGAACTCTGTCTGCACTTCATTTCAAAGCATCGCAGATGGGGAGAGAAAAGAGAAAAACTTGGAAGAGTACGGCAGCCATCTTTTGGCCTTCTGCTGGAAACCTGTCAGAGCGATCCTAGCCCATGGATTTTGTCGTTTGGTGTTCTTCTCACCTGGCCTGTGATGTCTGGATGCTCATACCTGACTCATGCTTATTCAGCCCCTCTGTCCCAGGAGCTGTGTTAGCAGCTTATGTGCATTACTGTCTGTGGGCCTTACTAATCCCCAAGTAAGGATCTGTTGGCCCCTATTTTGTGGAAGAGGACCCTGAGACACAGAAGAGTTTATGACTTTTCTAAATTCACAGAAGCCACTCATAACTGTGAGAAGATGGAAAGCCAGGACCTCAGATCTACAGTCTTGTCTCTGTACTGTGATGTGTACAGGAGCCCAGCATTGCTATGTACTGGTAAATCACAGAACAAGAGAGCATGCAGGCCCCCTCACAGCCCCAGCACCAGCTGGCAAGGGAGAAGGACCTGCCAGCATTTGGTGGGCCATCAGTCTGGCCATCTGTCACCTAATAGAAGCAAACCGTGCCTTCTGGCTGTGCACCCCACGTTCCCAGCATCACAGGCACCCAACCACGCAGCAGGAGAGTGGGCTAGGCTGCTGCCAGTCCCTGCGTGGCCTCCCACCCATTAGCCTGACTCATTCCAGCTCAAACGCAGCCACCGGTTCTTACCAGGCAGGGCCTTGTGCCGATTCTCAGAACGCCAACTTTAGAGGCCGAGAGTCGTGTTCCTGTAGGGTCCCCGTGACTGCTACAACCTTTGCAAATCCCACTGTACTCGGTGTGCTACACCTTCCTTCATGGTCTCTCCCCAGCTTGCTCTGTGGCCACTGACAGTCACTGTATCTGTTACTCTCTTACTGAGATGGAAAATGAAACAAGTATAACTTATTTTATATCTATGTTCAAACTATATAGAGAATATTCTGTGTATCTATGATGTGCTTACTACTGCAGTGCATTCCTTGTTAGTACTCATGTTAATACAGCACATTTATCCTTTGGTACCTGTTTGGCTACAAAGTATCATTTATGGGGTTGGGTTCTTACTTGCGGGTACCTGATGGCACTGTTGGAAGCAAACAGTTTGCCGGGGCTGCTCACAGGTCAGCACGGACAGAGCCTATCTCACTGGCCTGATGACCAGCCCAGGCTGAGCTGGCCCCGGCCCTCAGCAGGGGAGACGGTTCCCACACCTCTGGACTCCCTTGTGCAAACACATTTCTCTTTCACATGAAATGAATAGCAAAGGGAAGCCAAGGCAGAGAGAGCCTGTAGCTGAGACACAACTCCAGTATGCCAAGCCCAACAGAGAGAATCTCAGTTTGAGCCAAAGGCAAAACGTGAAGGAAACAGCAGGGAAGGTGAAGGCTGTGTCTTTTTATTTTAATAGAAAGGTGGTGTCCGTGAACCTCTTCTCACTCATGCATGAACACACATACCAGATTCCTGCCCTTCTGAATCTCCCTTCATCCCCTCTGTCTTGAAGGATTTGCTGAGGAGGAATCTATGAGGCATGAGACTCCATGTTTATTCTGTTCCCTCTCCCTGGAGAGGAGATGGTGCCCAAGGCTCCTCTGGCGGAACAGGAGGGACACGTGTGTAACACTGTGCCAAGGCCCTCTGACTCCAGCTGCTTCACCCTACTGACCCCTCCAGGCTCTGAGGGCTGGGAGATCTCAGCCTGGGAAACATTTCTCAAGGAAAGCCAAGACTCCTCCAGTCCACTGAGCAGGCAAGAACCTCTAGGGCAGTGGTGGCGAACTTATGGCACACATGCCACAGTGAGCTCTTTGTATCCTTGAACACTCTAAGAGGTTCACCATCACTGATGTAGTGCATCTGTCCTATAGCTCCTTTCTCTCATTCAGCCGAGGCCATGAAGCTCACCGAGGGAGCAGCAGTACTCCACTGGCCCAGGGAAACTTGTCCCTGGTACCATAGAGTTAAATCACAGCCAAACAGCAGTCCTGTGCATGTGCGTGTGGCAGTACAGGCCATAGTGGAGCACAGGCTCTGACTGTAGAGTGAGAGGCGACTGAGACCTCCCTGCTCCCATTTGGTCTCTGTTCCAAGAGCCAGCATCTGTGAGTTACAGAACGACAGCACTATCTGGGGGAGTGAGTAGGCTTGTTTGTTCTCTCTGAGGTGCTAACTGGCCTCTATACATATTTGATCCTTTAAAATGTATGCATTCATCTACCCTTCGTCCATCTATTTTTTACTCCAAAGACACTGAGCATCTCCCCCAGGAAAGACCCTAAGGAAATATATAGAAATTAATCCTTTGAGCCATTCAAAAATACTTAGTAAAGTCCATCTGTGTAGTAAGGACAGTTCTAGATAGATCAAATCAACTTCCTAGAAGGTGAGAGAGCTCACAGCTATTGTGAAAATGAGGCATTTATATGGACATTGATTATATAATGAGAGCATGAAACAGTGGAAAAGGGTACAAGCAACGGCTGCTCAAGAGAGTCAGAAATGGCTTCAGACCAGGTGAGGAGGTGTTCTGGGGAAACCCAGGCAGAGGGAGCCTCTCTGTCTTGTGCTAAGCAAGAGGAACATGCTAGGGCCAGCCTCTCAGGCCTATCTTACTGAGTGATCCAAGGAAGCGAGGTGGAATTTTTACACAAATCCAAACACAGCATTCCCAGCTCGCTAAATCATAACAGACCAGAACCACGGATATTTGTGAGGGAAAACATGATTAGAATTTGGCCTCTGGAGATTGCTAGTTTCTCATAGGCCATGTCCAAGTGGAAATTGTATCAGTAGCATCAGAGTTGAAAATGCCAATGCCTGGAGGAAAAGAAAAATAGAAATGGAGGAACGCAAGCTACCCCAGCTGAGCCATGAAATAGGGAAAGATGAAGGAGGCAGCCCTTCTAATTAGTGCTCTTCACCAGGTTTCTGTTCCCCCGTTCCGGCTTGGGAGAATTGAGTGTTCCATACCTTTGAAGTTAGGCAAGCTGTGTGATTCACTTTGGTTAGTGAAATAGTGTAAGCAGCATGTCCTTGACTTGCAGAAACACCTGTACAGTTGCTTCATTTTTTCCCCTGCTTCATCAGATATACGTGAGGGAGGGAGTGTGAAGAGGGAGCTGGTGAGCCAGAGTCCTGGGTCTCTAAATTCCCATGCCAGCCTACATGCTGCAGGTGGCATGCACATGACAAGCTCTAGTCATTTCAATTTTAAGCCACTGATGGCCTATTGATTTCCCAGCATAACCTTTACCATCATGATCAGGAAGCCTGGTAATCTGGTAAAGATAGAAAATCCCCAGGAACCTGGATTCCTCCTGCCTGTGTTCCTGTCTTTTCAAGAATCAAAAATATCTGAAGCTGAAAGCATGGGTGATTTGCATGAAGCCCTTCAGTGCCTAAGACATAATCTGCCACATCCCTGAGCCAGACCCCTTCAATGGTACTTTTTATGCTGGAACACTCTGCACTGACAGACACTGTCCAACATCGATAGACTTGGCCTCTCTCTTCAAGAACCAGTAGGTACCGGAAACTGGGTGTTTGTCTGCCTAGGACTACACAGTGGGGTATACAGGTTGGAAAGATAAAACCACAATTCCCAGACTCCCTTGCAGCCATTATTCAATGTGTGACGAGGTTCTGCCAACCAGAGATACCCATGGGAGTCTGCTGAAGTGGATCATGCTGGAGGTGAACCTGTCAGCCATAGTGCCAGCTTCCTGGCTTTGTAGCTTCCTAACCATTCTCAAGAAGTTAGCTGGACCTTTTGTTGGTGTGGTCAGGCAAAACAATGGCCAGCACTAGTAGAGATCCCTGTGAATGACCATGCACTCCCTTGTGATTGCCTGCTTAACTTAGGTGCTTGGGCAGCATCAGAAGGTATAGAGGGGACATGGAATGCACAAAGAAGTCTTCCTGGAGGAGGAGTGTGTGTGTGTGTGTGTGTGTGTGTGTGTGTGTGCGCGTGCGCACATGTGCATGCATGTGTGCTTGTGTTTAGGAGGATATACTGAAGTGGTGCTTGCTGGCTAAATGAATAAGAGGGTGTGTCAGGATTTCCAGACAATAAAGAAGTTGGGGAATTTTAAAGCAATACTCAATTTCCAAGAATCCCTAGCAATGGATGGGTACACTTAGGAACCTCGATAATGTAAAATAAGGACATGTTAGAAGTAGCAGCTCCTTCTCTTAGGATTTTCTGAATGGCCAATCCCTTGCCCCTGCCCCAGGGAGCATCACTGAAACATCATGGTGGCAGCTATGGCCTGGTGCCAGGCTACTGGGTAAAACAGGACTGCACAGAGAAGAGACTGGAAAGAGCAAGCAGTGGGGAATCAGGTGACCTGAGTTCCAGCACTGGAATAAGTTATGTGGCCTCACTATGCCTCTTCCCCTAAGTCAGGGTTATTTCTGCTTGGGGAGCTCTGACGACACAAAGACAACAGACAAGAACAACATCAGCTCTGCACAGGTGGGTTTTGTCAGCATGTGCTAGAAGAGGCATGGCTCAAGGAAGCGGTGAGAATCCTGTCTGCAACAAGGAAGGAAAGCAACCATGCTCTCTAAAAGCACAAAAGAAGACAAGAGTCAGTAATGGGGAGGAAGGGCGGAACCATGCCTATAGTGCCAATACCTGAAAGGTGCCCTGGAGTCTGGGGGTGGCCCTCTGCCACCCAGGTAAATGCACAGCTCCAAGTTCCTGCCTCGCTTCCCAGCCACCATGATCTGATGCTGACAGAGGGCTATGAACACCCCATCTGCACTCACTGGGGTAGGTTTGTTGGGGAGCAATGTGACAGCCTGGTTCCACTGAGACCACCCAAGAACTTCAGATGAGACAGCAGATCCTCCATGATGATGAATGTGGGACTCCAATGACAGATTTTTATGTTCACAAAATGTGTTCAGGGCATACTCCTTTGTAAGATCGAGGCTTCTTGTCTACCCACCTGTCTTTTCGTAGCATTTCTTAAACTTGTTTAAGATGTAGAGCTACAATAGTGGCAAATGCCAGATCAACGTGGAGACAAGATGACCCTTCTTTTATTCTAACCCCATCACGGAAAGGAACTAGGACTTTGTTCACCTTGGACAGAATCACCAAACTGTTGGTGTCATCATGACACCGGTAAAATCTACCTTCAGTCCTGGTGTCTTTTCTCACAGTGCAGGCCACTCCCTCTCTCAGCCCTGTCTCCTGCTCTGCTGTCCACCCCATCCCAGAATGCATTACTCCTCCACTAACTGGGCTCTCTGTCCTCACTAGGCCAGGGACACACACACACACACACACACATGCACATTTCCACCCTCTGTATCTACTCCATCCCACAGAGGAGGGTCATATTATGAGACCACTGGCTGGTCTACAGAACCAGGAAAATAAAAATGCCACCATGGTACTGCAGCCTCACTCTGGTCATGGGTCTGAATCTAGCAGGAGCCTTGTAAGCCCAGTGAGAGAAGGCCTGCTGATCTAGTAGAGTTCTCTGCCAATATAGAAACCAGGGTCAGGCAGATGTTGGGGCTCACCATCATGGGAGTGCTTGCTTATCTGAAGAATACCCCTCTAGACCTCATCTGCTTGCTAAATGCCTCCACAGCTTTCTTGGCCAAAGGAGGCAATTCCCCTCATTCCAGAAAGTCCTGAAGGAACATGCAATGGAACAAAAAAGACACAGCTCACTGCAGAGAAGTCAGTAGTCAGCGGGTGCTTCTGGCCCTGAGCAGAGTCACTATTCCAGCCCCAAAGCGGCTGCAGCTTGTCTTCCTGATGCCCGGAGTATGTCCAGAGCCACAGGAACCTAGGTCTGAGATAAGGATAGCCCTGACCTCTTCAGGGACATTTCCTGGAACTTCTTGAGATGAAGAGAAAACACGCAAACTGACTCAGCGGCAGCACTTGGCCCGATGTCACTCCTCAGCTCTAGGGACCATTTTAAATTCAGTAGGCGATCTCAGTCTGATGGTTTGTGTAAAAGAAGCCCTATGTTACCA